GTTCTGGCAGTAAACTGTCTTTGCCAGCAGAGGCTGTGAGCCCAGGGTTGGGGCCCTCACTGGGTGGAACACTGGACATTTGAAGAGAGTGGTTGTTGTCTGTGGATATTCCTCTAGGAGACAAGGCCAGAGCCACCCAGATAACAAGCCCTGAAGTCACTTCCAGAGCCTCCTCTACACACACACACACACACACACACACACGCACACACACACACACACACAGGCATACACACACAGACACACACACACACAGAGGCATACACACACAGACACACACATACACACACACACACACAGGCATACACACACAGGCACACACAGACACACACACACACACACACACACACTCTTTTCCGAAATAGATCCAAGTCATCCCTCGTTTCCCCAGATGAGACAATAAGGATTTAACAGGAATTCACCTGCCAGATAATTCAAATTGGTGAGCTGGAATTTCTCAACTGGTTTCCAAGGTGGCAAGTGTCCATCAGGTAATCAGACTCACAGTGAAGCCAGAAGTCTTACTTCTTTTGGAAATGTTGCTGGTTTAAGAATAGATACCTGAAGATTAGTAAATTACACTCATTACTCCCCACCGTGACTGTGGATTTGGAAAAGACAGCTCAAGGCTTTGGGTGACAAGGATGGGCTATGGTCCCCTGTCCAGATTCAAGAGGCTGTATCCAAATCACTCTTATACTTTCTTGGGTCTGTAAAAGATCCTGCCAAATGGTGGTGAACAAGAGTGGGCCATACATGTCAGTCCACCAGAAAGAGTGGCCCTGGTGCCCCCTCCCCTAGGGGGGGTTTCTCTGCAGCACCGCCTTCCTCCTGCAGGCACTGTCAGGGCCCTGGGGACAGGGATCCTCTCAGAGAACACACAGGCATTCATAGACTGCAGCATAGGACAGCCCGGGCAGATAGTTTGCAGCTGTGGCGTCTCTTCCTGGTGGGCCTTGTCTACTGGTCTAGTCATCAGCCCAGGTAAAGGACCCCCACCGCACAGATGACTCTCACCAGAATCTCTCTTCATCATTTAAAAACTTTAAAGTAAGTTTTAATGACCTGTTTGGGGTGTCAGCATTCTAACCCGCTTGAAAAAAACAAAAACCAAAAAACCAAAAAACAAAAACAAAAACAAAAACAACCATTGTCTCCTAGAAGCAACATTTTGATAACGTGTGGCACCAGGAAATCCATGGCTGGCTTTGTGGTACCGTGTCCTTTGGTGTCCTTTGGTGTCCTTTGGTGTCCTTTGGGCTCATGAGTCAATGTGTTGCTTTTGCCTTCAGTGCAGTACCTGTTTCTGTCAGGTTTTCAGGTGCACGCTGGCTGTTACTAATCAGGGGACACAGTCACTTTTGCAGCCTGTCCTCCCTAAACTTAGTGCGAGTTATGAAATCAGCCTGTTACAGTCAAAAACCACAGTCAAAACAATGCCTATTCCTTAAGATCTGCTAAGGTGATCAGCACCAATAGCTGTACCTGAGGCTGAACCTGCTGGGTCCAGTCCACTCCCCGGAAGGATTGAGTGGATTTAAAAGGCTTGCACTTTTCCTAAGAAAAGGACCTTATCTTCAGTTTCATAAGAAGCTTTTAGGGTATGAGATTCAAAGATGAGTCCTGTGCATTTAATGTCTATTTTATTTCCAATTACTCTTTGCAGCCAATCTGAATCCCCAACATTATCTGCATATTGGTGGGTATCACTGAGGATGCTTTTTCTTTCCTTCCTTCCTTCCTTCCTTCCTTCCTTCCTTCCTTCCTTCCTTCCTTTCTTTCTTTCTTTCTTCTTTTTTCTTTTCTATTTGAATCGAGAGGACCTTTATCTGTTGATGAGGTGATGAGATAACATCCCCTCTCCACTCTGGTTCCTTTCCCTTCATGCACTAAGACTGTCCCACAGGCTCTGGGTGGCGAAGACCTGGGAAAGCGATATAGGCAGGGCTCTTAGGGCCTCACAGTCTCAGCAGGGTGAGGGAAGGGAAGGTGTAGGACCCTCCTAGCTCCCTGGTATTTGATTTCCCGGTTGCCAGTGCACTAGGACTTTGGCAGCTCCTGCTAGAGGCTGAAAGACAGCCTGTCATACCCGAGCCTGCAGCCTGCTGAAGTTGAGAAACTTGGCAGATATGCAAACAGTAACTGGGTTTGAGTTGTTTTGATTACGAGTTAAACAGAGAGTCATTCGATGGGCCAATGTATATCTTCTAGGTTCTCGCTCTTTTTATTCCCCTGTGTTCTTTCTTCCCCTTGGCAACAGGAGAGAAAGGGGCTAGGGGACTTAGGAGGAGTCAGATTGCTCAGGGTTCTGTGCTACAAGGAATGGTCAGTTACCCCTTTGAAATTACTTCCTGTTGTGTGGAGAACAGGGTAGTTAGAAATATTCAGCCCTGACTGCAGGGCCTCAGACACATTCAGAATTTCCCCTCTAGGTGGTCTTCCAAGCATTTCTTTCTGAATCTCCCATCATTCAGGAAGAGCAGAGAGGTTTTTAGGAGTTCAGAAAGATCCCAGCGAGCTCTCCACAGTGAGCCATTCTCTTACCATCCCCTGGGAGAAACGAAAAGATGCAGGCTTTTGTGGTTACTGCCTGCTTTCTTTCCATCTTGACTTTGACTTGACCACCTATCTGCCCAGCTATGCCCGGGGTATTTGGGTCAGTGAGGATTTATGGGGACAGGATGGCTTACTTGGTAAACAGGGGAAAACCAAATAATCATAAGATATTTGGCATTATGCAGGTGGTTATGACACAGAGACCTGTTATATTACCATAAGTCAGGGGGCTCGGTGATGTCATCCTTCCTCTTCCTTTTCCTCCACCTCCTCGTTCCTCTTCCTCCTTCCCCCTCCCCCTTCCCACTCCTCCTCTTCCTCCTCCCCCCTCCTTCCCCCTCCTTCTCCCTGACCCCTGTTCTGCCATGGGCAGTCTTAGCAACTTTAAGGCCCAATGGCATTTAGTTTGAAGGGAGGGCAAGGCCCAGGTCCCCTGGCTGCTTTCACTGTCTCTTCCGGCTGGAGACAGATTTTCCTAACACTGATCACGTGGCAACAAACACATTTGATTTACAGAAATGAGACTCCCTTTTCTCCCCCACAATTGGAAGGAACAGTGAAACTCTGAAGGCCATGACAGAGTTCTCGGAAGGAATCCAAACGTATCAAATCAGACTTTTTTTTAACTCAACAATTTGACCATAAAAAAAAACTTTATTGGAAAAAATACAAAGCAAAACATAACAAAGCGAAGCAAAGCAAAAAAAAAAAAAAAAAACCACTAGGCTCAATATTGTCTCTGAAGAAAGCCGGTTCTGAACGGCCCTCATTTGGACAAAGTTAATTACTGCACAATGATTGCATTTTAAATTTAGTTTCTAGATGCAGTGAATTTTAAAGCTCACGACTGGGGGAAAAAATAAGATCCTCCATGTTTGGCTCTGTAATTGCTTTTGTCAGCAACAGATATCTCTTGTCCCACGGCGGCCCCCTCACCCCTTGATGAAGGAGCACTTCCTGAGAGCTGGTGGCACATGGGCCTAGCACACAGGGACAGCTCCATGCTTCTCCCTAGAACTGTTCAGCCTAGCACAAGTTGGAGGTCAGGTAACCAGCTGATTATCCCATGCCACCGGGATAGGGAAGGGCAGCCAGAGTATGTCCACTGTCCTTTGCTATTCTTTTGTCTTACTGTTTTGGTTTTCATAAGTCCGTGGGTGTGTCTTAATGCGTGTGCACGTTTGTGACTATGGGTGTGGGTGCTTATATGCCATTGTGCATTTGGAGGTGGAGGGCAGCCGTGAATGCTGGTCCTTAGCACTCACAAGCTTCCCTAAAGCTGGTCCATGGGATTTGGGGTGCTCTCCTTTCTCCCCTTCCATCTTGCTGTCAGAGATGCAGGACCACAGATGTGCATTAAGGAACCTGGCTTTATGAGGTGAGGGGATTTGAACTCAAGCCTTCATGCTTGAGCTCCGAGCACTGTGTTTTCCATCGGTGAGTATCGGCGTATGGTGACTGTCTCCTTTGGATCTGGCTTATCTCACAATTTAACATCTGTTCACATCCTCCCCTGTATTAGAGCTGTTTTTGTTTTCATGGCTGAGTCTTATCCTCCTGTGTGACAGACCACATTTGATTGTCTGCGTTTCTGTGGTTGACTTAGTTGTTCCTATCTGTGGATGCTGCCAATTGCATTGCTGGGAACCTTGATGGAGAGGTACCTACTCGAAACCCATTTTGAGTGGATTTTTTGGGGGGAGACATGGTCATTGCATGTTTAGCTTTCTGAGGAGCTCAAGGATCAAATTACAGAAGAGGAAATTTAAAAAATGTAATGTCTGTTCTTTTGTAGCTAGGGGCTTGTAGCACTAGGATATGAAGATGGGTTTGTCTGGCTTGCTGGCTCAGGACCTTCCTCCCTGCAAACTTACCCTTAAAGGAGAGTTAGAGTAAGTGTCCCTCAACAGGACACCAGCTGTCACAGAGAGCCCCCCTCTGAGATAGCAGTGACAGCCACATGAATGGAGTAGCAAGAGGCTAAATTCCCCCCGAGCAAGCAAGGAACCTCTGAGTCTCAATTCCTTGGCAAAACTTGCTTTAAAGCCTAGTCTACAGAGTGAGTTCCAGGACAGCCTCCAAAACAATACAAAGAAACCCTGTTTCAAAAAAACAAACAAACAAAAAGTAACAAGGACTCTGACAGATCAACAAAAAGAGAAGTGGGTTCCTGGTGAGCTGGGGTGCTGTGTGGGATTTCCAGGTCCTGCCCCACCTTCTTTGTTGGGTCCCAGACAGGAATCGAAAGTGTTATGACCCATGTGTCCTCAGAGGGTAGAGGAACTACTGAAAGCTGAATTCTCAGACCCAGGGGTATGAGCATACAACCTGAGGTCACACATGGGAACATTCTAGATACCTCAACATACAACCTGAGGTCACACATGGGAACATTCTAGATACCTCAACATACAACCTGAGGTCACACATGGGAACATTCTAGATACCTCAACATACAACCTGAGGTCACACATTCTAGATACCTCAAAACCTGTTTCTATGCTGACTTGACCTGGGAAACACCCAGGTGTATGAATGTCATGGGCTATATATATTTTGTTTTACAGGGCCACATTTCAGAAGCTCCCTCAGGATGGTGTTTGTCAGACACCACTGGCACCTTTGTCTTAATCTTCGACCCGTTTAAGGTAGGAATTTAGTCCGACTTTTAGAAACATGCTCCTGTAATCCCTTGTGAACTCATTCTTGTTTTTTTTTAAATTAATAATTCAAGATTTCCTATGATTGTTATGTTCACTACCTTTTAGCTATATCAACCAAGGTAAATAATTCTTAATTTTTTAGGTTAATTTTATTTTATGTGTATGAGTGTTTTGCCTGCATGTATGTATGTGTACTATGTGAGTGTCTGATGCTCATAGAGGCCAGAAAAGGTCACCAGATCCCCGGAAACTAGAGTTATAGACACCTGTGAGCTGCCATGGGGATGCTGGGAATTGAACCCAGGCTCCCTTCAGATGCAGTCTACACTCTTAACCACTGAGACAATTTAGACTCTAAAACATTTTCTCTAAAAAATTCCTCACCGAAAATTCATATTAGATTGTGTATTGGGCCAAGCAAATGGTTTCTTTGAAGAAAATAACATTAAACACAGATGGGGCTGGCAAGATGGCCGGTAGGTGAGGACGCTGGTCACCAAGCCAAGGGGCCTGAGCTCGGTCCTTGAGGCCCTCATGGTGAAAGGAGAGAACTGACTTCTGCAGGCCGTGCTCTGACTGTCACACACTCCCTGTGCGTCCCACCCCCACAAAAGAAACAAATGTTTAAAAACCCCCACACAGCCAACGCAAACCAAGTGGTCTGAAGTCAGGCCTGGCATGGAAATGCCGTTCCACTGAGAGCCGGTGGCTCTTCCGGGTGGTTGAGATTAAATGCCCCTATTAAAGGTGAATCCCGAGTGCCTTCCCATTCAAATGACTGTCTAGTACATCACGTGTTCAAAGGGTTCTTTCCTGGGTTTGTGCCCGAGTTCCCTCCTGTCCGTGAAGCAATATATAGTTACTTTCTCAGACTGTTTTCTGTGTGCTTGTGTAGTGCTTGCCAAGCCAAACTAAAGCCCCAACTGTCTTCGCTTTTGTCCTGTGTGACTTGGAACACCCCCCAACCCCCCACCCCCATCCATAGCCCCAGACAACCAGGACAGTCTTTCCCCTCTTCCCTTCCAAGACTTAAACACACAAGTGAGTGAGGTTGCTCCAGGGCTTTTCAGGTAGGAGCAATTCTTACTAAGATGTCAGTGACTGGCCGAGCCACCTGTGAGGGAACCAGGTAGCCACAGAGCATACACGGGTGGGTGGTGGCTCTTGGCAAGGCAGAGAGCACAGCTTTGGCTTCAGAGAGAACAAGGGATGGTTTATTTTGAAATCAAATATGAATGAATGACCATGGCCCCAGTACACAGATTTAGGGTACCTCCAAATTCCATGTTCTAATGCGGTAACAGTTCAGTGAGGTTTTGTAGTAACAGAACAAAGAAATCACAAACCTGAACATTTCTCAGACACTTAGGTGGGACCATCAGGTCAGGTTTGGGGTGTATGTGGCGGGGGTGGGGAGAAATAGGGGAGGTAACGGGAGGCTGGGGTGGGGGATTGGATCGGCTATAGCACAGCAGGAAGTTCTCTGCTCTGGGCCTCACTTACACTGCCTGGTGGCATTCTTAAATTTGGGGTTGATAGAACATAGGGGTCTGTGTGTTCATTCCAAAGGATTTACCCGAGAGTCAAAAGAATGACGGGTCACACACAGAGGTGGGCGGTGATTAGATGATTGAGCCCTGGAGTGGCATTCCAACCTTTCCAGAATCACTGATGTTTAAATCAGTGAATCAGGCACCCCCCACACCTTCATCCTCCTCCCCCTTCTCCTTCTTTTCTGGAAACTACAGTTCACACTCTGACTTACAGTACAGACTGCAAGTAGAAGCCCTCTTTGGACACGTCATAGTGTGAGTCACTGCAAATACACTTTGTGGCGGTAGGAGCATGTCTGCCCGTTTGGGGTGTGATTCCTGAATCACAGCAGCACGTGACTGGACAATCCCTTATTACAGGCTTTACTTCTCAAAGACCAGTCTGTGCTGTGGACAGATATCCTAGAAAAATGCTTTTGACAAAATGACCACTCTAAGTTTTTAGAAATTCAGAGAAATAGGCCTTTGAAAGTTACAGGCGCCCTTGTCTCAAAACTCGGTAGAGGCTTTGTGAAAAGTATTTGGCAAAGATGGTCAATATTCCCTTTTTAAGAGTGGTTAAATTGTCCAGTGTTGACATTAAAAAGTGACTTCCTGACCATGAAATTAAACAAGAAAACCCCTGTAACCATCCGGCTCCTACATTAAACAAAGACAGCCCCAGAGTGAGAACTCCTCTGAGACAGGACAGCTGTGTGCCTTGGGAGGACACACGCCCAATGAGTGATAACACTGGAAATTTATTTAAAAATGGTTTCATGTAAGGAAATAACAAAAGCTGCCTATTTATAGAACGGATAAAAGAGCACAAATCTAAATATGGATTGTAACAGCTGTCTCTTGGAAGGATCTCATTATGCCATTTATTTAAATGATTTTCTTAAATTTTTCTTTTAGACAGTGCACTTAATTCCATGAAGTGGCATTATATATTTGTTTATATTTTAGCTTCATCACCTTCCCAGGGGCTCTGTTGGTGTAAGTCCCGGTCTCAACTTATCAATAAAGTATTTAATAACGGCACTTATTTTTCCTCTTGCCTTATGCTATTAACTCTTTGTAATAAATACAAAGACCGTCCATTTAAGAGGGATTTATTATTCCGAGGCTAAAAATACTTGGTTAAATTGCATAAACTTAGCAATTATATATTTTTCCTCAGGTGAAAAAGAGAGAGAGGGAATCTATTAGAAAAGCCAGCCTAAATTGATGTCACCTTTGCTTTAAAAGCATAAAAATTGGCTCTAATTCTCCTCCAACTCATTGCACGTTCCCGTGTGCTTGTGGAAGAACAGTAAGAGGCAACGGCACACCTCATTATAAAGTGGGCTTTCATCTTCATTAGAGAGAAGATCTGCACTGTATCGGGAATATCAGCAGATTGAGAGCAGAGGGGGGTGTCTTCTTCATCAATTAAAAGTCAAATCAAGTAAATTTAATTTATTTTGAACCATGGTGTCTGTAGGGATGACTCTTCTGGTCGATCTTGTGTGGGTTAAAATCAACTGTTGGCAACACTCCGTGTATCTTTGACCTCAAGTATGGACAGCCCCCAAGTAGATCTGATTTCACTGATGCAATGTGGTATGGAATTTCAACTGGACTATGGATTATTAGATATGGAAAGACAGGTTAACTGGTGAAGTGAAGACCTGAGTTCAGAACCGACATAAAAGACAAATATGTTTGTATACACCTGAAAGAGCAGTGTTGGGAGAGGGAGTGTTGTATGGAGGAGTGGGGTGGAGACTGGCAGATTCCGGAAGCTCCTGGGACAGTCAGTTTAGCGCAATCAGTAAGCTTCAGGCTTTATGAGAGATCAGACTCCATCTCAGAAATGAAGAGTGGTGAGTGATGAAGGAAAGACACCAGACATTGACTTCTGACTTCCACAGGCAGACACACAGTCCTGTCACATAGCCTAAGCCACATATGGTATGCTCCACAATTCTGCCTCTGTCGTGTAGACAGGTCACATATTAACTAAGCCTGCTTCCTCACAATGAACCTCCTTCCCTTGACCCTGCTGTGAGTGGTAAGGACTGATGTCCTCACTGATAAATCTCTTCCTGGAAGGATGGCTTAACTCAGCCCTCCCTCTCTCCTGAGCCTCCTCTCCTCTTCCTTCTCCTAACCTAACACTGGGGATTGAACTCAGGGCTTTATACATAGTAAGTAAGTGCTGTACCACGGAGCTATAATCCCAGCCCTCTTTTTAAATTTTAGTTTGGAGACAGGGTCTTGTTGAGTTGCCTAGGCTGGCTTTGAACTCATTGTAGCCCAGCAGGCTTTGTACTTTGCACACTCCCATTTTAATGTCCCCGGTACCTGGAACTATAGCTTTGCACCATGAGGCCCGATTTCACTGCATTTCCTTGCACAGGGGAGAAACACCACTACAATGCAGAGCCCTGGGCAGAGGAGAACCACTAGAACCCTCTGCTCTCTTTGTGAGCCTCAGCAAACGATCACACCCCACGATGTTAATGTCCCTGGCACCTGACCTGAATGACAAATGTCTGACTTAAAAAAATTTTAACGGTGAGTCCCCCCCCTGAAATTTAACTTTGTTTTTAGAGGCTTGGATGGTTTGTTATGCCGTGTACAGAAATAAACTCAAGTAGAACCATTTCTGCCCACTGGGGACCACAAACTCAGTTGTGTTAAAGAAAGTAATCAGAACTATGGGTTGAAACCCACACTGTTGGAATTTGTAGGAAAATCTTCGAGGCCTAAGATGCATTTTCCAGAATTGAATTTCACGGTATCTCTTGCATGTTCTGGCACCGCAGGCAATCCGAGCATCTCTGGTGTGGGGTGGGACAGGCCCGGATGTGTTGATTTTTGTCTGGGTTTCTGAGCAGAAGTACACTCAGCTGAACATTTCAGGGTTAATTATGACAGAAGCTGAGAAAGCCTGCGGTGGAGAAGGTGAGGGGTTTTCACAACAAAAGCCAGATGAAGCCATGTTATTGACACACCTATTTTTGTGCATGGGATGTATGTTTTGTGGGAGGGAGACAAGAAGGGAGGAAGGAGGGGGGAGAGAAGGGAGAGAGAAACAGCACTTCAGACCCGATGAATAAAATTGTTTTCAAATTTGTGCCCTTCGAAGCTGCTTTATTATAAAAAATGGTTCCAGGCTGTGTCTGATGCTGGCGTGTTTCTTCTGATTATTATAACCCTTGTCTTCACCTATGATAAGTTAGATTACCTTGGGATGCTAATGCCTGGTGTAGCCCGAAAAAAAATACTAGGAAAGTACTTATAAAGTAAATAAGCTTTAATTAAATATCATTGTCAAGCATTAATCATTATAGCTCTGCTCCCTATGGAAATAAGGGTGGAGATACAATTTGTTTTGATTACGTGTGGATTTTAACGAAAGCCTTGTTTATGTGTTACAGTGCTCAGCCCAGCCCTGGGCCTCGAGTCTCTCTCCTGGAGGTGCTGAGGAACGAACCTTCTGCTTGTGTGGCAACGAGGAGCTGTAGGTTTAGTGTTTTTGTAATGCAGAGTATCTACCCCGGGCACCTTCATCAGACAGCAGTGATGGGTGTCTTCTCCAAAACCTTGTATGCATACTGCTTCATGCAGGTCATCTTAAGTTTATTCTAAGCCCCCCCTGTACCAAGCATGCTCAAATAACAAAGTACGTGCCTTCCAGAGAACCAGTAAAGTTTCTAGTCTGCTGGGCATGGCCGTCCTTGGGCTGCTGAGCCTCTTCTGCCCAGGTCTGACCCGTGTCCCTCCTTGTGAATGCTCACTTTCTTGGAAAATGTCTCTGTGTCTGCTACTGTCCACCACATGTCTCCATCTAATTTCTTTCTTGTTCTATGATACCAGAAGATGGAAATCTCAGTACCCACACAACTCCAGTGTCTGCCTAAACCAGGGGACTGGTTCAGGTTTCCATGTCTGGAAAGTGGGGCCTTTGGAGCACAGCCTCACCTGTCGTGGCTTGAAGTTAACCCTCTTTCTACGCATCATTTGCTTTCCTCTGCAAAGCAACTCATTTTTAAAACAATCGCTGCTGGGCCTTAAAAGATGGCTTGGAGGTTAGGAATACTGACTGCTCTTATAGGACCTGAGTTCAGTTTCCAGCATCCACATGATGACGTGCATGCCTGTGTGTTTGAGTGCACACACACACTCTCTCTCTCTCTCACACACACACACACATCAAATAAAGAAATATTTGAAACAATCACTGCTAATTCAGTGCTTAGCAGATGGAAGGGAATGGTTAAAACCATCAAAGCCCACGAGACATAGAGACAGCTCTGCAGCCTGTCCTGGGGTTGTCCCTAGTTGGCTTTCCCTCTTCCATCCTGGAAATGCATACCAGGATGTAGATGAGTCAGGATGACTCCTGTTCTCGGTTCTGAAAAAGAGTGGAGGCAGAGATGCAGAGACAGACAAGGGCATATTCAAGGCAGCTACAGTTTGTCACATGTATCCTTAAATGTCTCAGGCAGGTAAAAGCATTGACTGCTCCCCCCCCAGAGGACTCAGGTTTGATTCTCAGCACCCCACATGGAGGCTTGCAACAATCTGTAAGTCCAATTCCAGGGGATCTGATGCCTTTTCTGGACTCTCTAGGCACCACACACACGTGGTACACAGACATATATGAAGAAAAATCACCAGCACAATCCATTCCAAATAAAAACTTATTTATACAGGCTGCGGATTAATGGTAGGAAAATAGTAAGTGCTCTTATTTTCTTTAATTAAACCATTATCTGTCTAGGAGAGCATACAACTTTGTAGGCACAGTAAAGCACCATGGTTCGTAGCATACAGCAGTCATGAATGAGAGCTGAGGTGTCTCATGCCTTGTGTGACGTGAGGCATTGGTCACACAACACAACACGAGGCCAGCCAGCACTGCTAGAAACATCTTGGATTCATCATGTGTTTGATTTTGAGTTAACTTTCCACTCTTGTGTGTTCAGAAACCTTTCACTATCACCAACAATTTTATGATACACTCCGTTACCACATGGGGTCTTGACACACGGTTTAAGGTGCTGTGGCTTAAGCCACCCAGCTTGTGGCATACTGCCATGGTAACAAATGAAGCACAGAAGTTAACCCAGGTGACCCCGGGCCCAGGAGGAATCTGCTTCAGTAACTGAGTCAAGGAGAGGGAGATGTAGACAGTGAATAGCTGTCGGGGACCAAGGAGACAGGACTGTGGGATGTTGTAGTTGCAGGATCATGGGCTGGTCTGCAGATGCTGATCTGTATAGCCCGTGGCCAAGGGGTGAGGGATTTGGTCTCTAGTGTGACCTCTTTCTGGTTTATAGAAAGCTATCTTTTGCTATGTACCTCCCTGGCCTTTCTTCTCTCTGTGTGAATGGGAGGAAACAGAGTCACCCCGCCGTCCCTTCCTTCCCTTACAGGGACACCAATCAGCCCTATGGGATTCGCTCCTATCTCCAAGACCTCTCTTTGCCCTGGTAGTGTCCTTACCATATCCTGGCCATACACAATCAGAACAGAGATGGAGCTTTGACTTGTAAACCTTGGCAGATTGCCTTTGGGTCTCCATGATAGAAGGGAGACAGGCTGGCAGGTGGGATCCTCTTTACTGCCAGTTAAATGATTAGATGACAAGAAATTGCTCATGGCAAAGTGAAAGCGTATTGGCCAGCATGGAGACTCACCTAACTTCACACTCTTGAATTCTACCCCTGGCCCTACAGCCTCAGAAGTGAGCCCCATGGCTGGCTTCTTCGCCAATCTTACTTCAGGGCCCCAGAGCTTATAGAAGTTACATCTGAGCTTGCAGTCTGGGTCTGAGTAACTCTGAGACTCACACTTTGTTCCTCTTCCCCACTGAGTGCTTCAGGGCCCAAGTCAATGGGCCATGGCCAAAAGTTTGTAACATCTTTTTTTTTCTATTACTATGTATTTTGTTTAATCAAATGTAATGAGGTTTGTGGAAGCAGTAAACTGAAGTTATTTTCAAGTAGGAACTGTATTTAGCACCGTTAATTGAATCAGTCTAGTTAGTTGGAATAGAGCAGTGGCTGTTCGCCCTGGAATGGGGAAATTGAGCTTCTCATAAAACATCCGACTACTGTCCTCACACACTGTGACACACACACAGGCTGAGCATCCGGGGTCCTTTCTGTGCGTCGGCTCTGCCCGGCTGCAACGTGACTTAAGGCAGCTCGTGTTGTCCTTGCTGTCTCCAGACCTGGCTGCCATGAAGAGACAGCAAAGAACTCCAGCTGTGGAGTGGGCTGGATGTCACATGATGCAGAGATTATGCCCTGTCCTTACCCATCATGTCTTGCTAACTGTAGGCTAGTGTCCTCACTACACCAACAGGAATTCAAGGCTTAGATAGATGAAGAAGTAAATAGACAAGTCTATGCTGCACCATTTCCACCCACAGCCTGAGAATCAACTCAGAGGACAGTGATGGAATAAAAGCGGATACAGATACTCACTGTCTCCTTCCAGAGGGACATAGAATCAAACGCATCTGCCTTTGACCTTTGGCGGACCATAGCAACTTGGGTAGTCTTTCAGGAGGTGGAGGTAATGATCTGGGACTCCAGAGGCCAGGCTGTTGGAAATTTTGCTGTTCTGTCCTAACCTCACGGGACCCAGGTATCTCACTGCAGCCTCTGGAAAGAGAGATGTTATGTCCTTGTGTGCAGGACGTTGAGGGACCGAAAGTGTCCTTGAGCCCTTTTACAGGGTACTCGATTCCATCCTTGCAAACCCCATCCCCGTGAGCTCCTTTCTCTGCACTGTGTTCCTGGGAGAGGGTGACAGTGCGATTTGTGGGGGGGATGTTGCCACGGGCAGCACAGTGATGCTGGAGACCTGGATGGATTTCTGGAGCCTTGATCTACATGGGTATCCAAGGCCACTTCTGGAGAGAAATGCTACATGGTGAGGGCTGCGGAGAAGTTGCCTGGCTCGAAGTACAGGTGAAGCCAGAGCCATTGCTCAGGCCCCTTCCCTCCAGCATAACTCCTGGTGAAGTTTTCTGGATGTCTGGGGAGTCAGCATGTGGCGTCTCTTGTTAGGACACGGCCCAATGCCCCTTATTTCTTACGTGTCCCTGTAACCCTTTACCTTCATTTCTGCATTGTTCCCCTACAGTGATGGCTAATACCACCCTCCCCAGGCTCCCTCTATGAGCTTCTAGTAGATGTGTCTATTTCTCTTCAATGAGGTTTACATAGCTGGATTCTGGGCTAGGACAGAAGGCTCCTGAAGATAGTGCCTAACACCTGGCAGGCCCTGCACACATAGTAGGTGAACAAGGAATGTAGGCTGAGTGAGAGACCGGCAGAGCGCTACAGATTTCCTCACTACCCTACACTGTACTCAGATGGCCTTTGTCAGCTTATGGGGCGACACAGGATGGTCTGTGATTTGCTGAGTGACAGGCCGGTTTGATGATCGAAGTGTTGACCCATGGGATTGGCCTGTGGTCAAGCGTTGACTTCTCTTTTGAATTGGCATGATATAGTCACACACACAAAATTCAAAATTCCAGGGTCTCCCATAGGGGAAGAGTATACTATAGCAGTGTCTACCAGAGGATTGTGAGGATCCACAGAACTCCCCAGGCAGGGACAGAGCCACCATCCCTACGGGAATCTGATAGAAACAATTTGCCTCATGTTACCGCAGAGTGAAACAGACCATGCCCTTAACCCAGTTTCTTCTCAGAGTAAAAACTCCCCTTTTCTTACATTTGATAACAGTTAAATCAGCTTCTATGAAATGTCTTCAAAATCTGGCCACAGATACCACTTTTAAACATCCTCTGGGGCCACTCACTACCCCTAGATTGAGCTATGGAGGCTAGCAGAGAGGAGTTGGGGCCTGTTAGTGTCCAAGAGCATCTACATATAACAGAACATGGCTCACACCATGGCACACTGCCTCGGGCAGCCTGCTTGTCTCAGAGCTCTGTAGAGGAAGGATGGGTTCCCTTACTTATAGAAGACCACATTATATGTGGTTCCCAAAGCCTGGGCAGGAATTGGAGAGAGAGCCTTCTGGCAACCCAACATGCTGGAATTCATTGGTATTTAGAAACACTTCCCTGCCCTTTTCATTATACGGTCTAACATTTAAAGACTCCAAAGTCACAACTTGTTAGTGCATGGGAGTTGGAGAGCTTGAGAGCCATGGCGGCACAAATAGAAGGTCGTCTTCAGGAGTGAGGGTCTGAGGAGAGGTTTACTGTGAAGCAGAAGTTCTTCAGGGCCCGCTGAGCCTCTGGGCCTGATCTGCCTGCCAGGAGTGCGACCCACACTGTCTGAGCAGTGTAGGACAGCATGCTCCTCGTTCATGGGAACATTCAGTTGTGCAGTGGTCTGGATCATTCTTTCAGTGATTGAATTACCCAGCGTCTGTACCCCAACTCCACTTTCAGGGGGTAGGTATAGTTTCACCCTCTCAGGGGCTGACTGTAGTCTCATCACATGACTGATGTCATCACATGACTGATGCTTTGAGCTTTGAAAGTACTAACTAACCTGGAAAGCTGGGTGACTTTCCTTAGCATCTTCATCAAAACAAACAATTTACAGTGTGTGTGTGTGTGTGTGTGTGTGTGTGTGTGTGTTCGTGTGTACGCGCACGCATGTGTGCACACATGAATACAGGTGCTCTTGGAACCCAGAGGCATCGAACTTCCGTAGAGTTGGAGTGACAGACAATTGTGAGCTTCCTTATCTAGATGTTGGTAGTCACACTCCGGTCATCTGCAAAGGGCTGCTCTTAACCACTGAGCCATTTCTGCAACTTCTATTCTTAATTTCATTCTGATACAAGTAAAACTGGATATTCCATGAAGCCAGAGAGAGAATGGAATTTTAAGATCAATTTAAAATTTGTCACAGTAGCATAACGTTATTAAACATTTCATAAAACAGAGAAAAGGAGAGAAAGGCCACCGGTACCACCAGGCAGTGGGAGACCCGGGGCGTGCTGCCTGGCCCTGCAGTGTCTGTGCTCTCTGCTGATGGAACATGGTTCAGTGCTGCACACCCTCTGGACCCTGTGTTCCTTTTAGATGCTGCACCGGGGTTTGACTGTTGTCC